CTCGCCCTCCACACTGCCTCGCCCTCCACACTCGCTCGCCCTCCACACTCGCTCGCCCTCCACACTCCCTCGCCCTCTACTGCCCCTCACCCTCCATGCTACATTTACCTTTCATTCTCCCTTGTCCCTCCCTTCATTGCCCCTCACCACCTCTCCTCCTCTCCCCCTCTCCTCTCTGCATTGCTGCCCCTCTTCTCCCTCTCCGCTCTGCTGCCCCTCCTCTCTCCCCCACTCTGTCCCTCCCCTCTTCCCCTGCTGTTGATCTGAACCATAACAGCCTGTCGCTGGCCACTCCTTTCCCAGGTACCTGCTAGCCCTGTTAGTAGCCCTGGGTGATGTCGATGCTGCTGCTCTGTTTTAACACCTAGTTTGGAGTTAGGAATGAGCCCTTATCCACTTCCTTCGCCTATCTCTCACGGCCAGGAGAGAGGGAACGAGGCTGGACAGAAAGTAGCTCCCCATCCACTTAAATTTGACTTGATTTATTATTGTTGCATGTACCGAGGTACAGTGAAAAGTCCTGTTTTGCATGCAGTACAGCAGATCATACCACACAAAGTACATTGGGGTAAGAGAACGGAGTGAGGAATACAATGTTACAGCTGCAGAGAAGGTGCACAGAGATCGGGATCAACATTAAATTTGAAATTTAGAGAACAGTTTATTTTTGAGAAGAGAATACAACATTGTTTACAGTTTGAGCTCCAGAGGAAGTCAGGGGGAGGTGAGTAATTATTTTTTTCGCCCAGAGTAAGGTAGAGGTCTTTCTGAAAGAGTGCTGAGACACACTAAAGCACATTTTAAAAAAGTTCTTAGAAGTGCAGTCAACAGAGTGGGGGGAATGGATGGTTCTCTGTTAGCTACCAGCCAGAATTCTCTGGTTAAAGAGACAGAACCTGTGGAAATGTAGGGACACTGAAAGATTTTTCAGGGATGTGCAATGAACTGGTTGAGTCAAACTGCGGGAAATTGGCTTGGGATTTCTTGGAAGGATGTGGAAAAGGACCTTTACTCACTGGGTATTATGATTCAGCGAAACATGGAGAAGTGAGACCGTTAGAAGTTGGAAGATATGTTGGACTAGCTCCTGTTAACATAAGGATTCAGATCTCCTGGTTTGTAGAAACTGGGTGTATGATTATGTTTGTACTTTGGGTCTGACACACACAACACACACACACACCCCTCCTTGGGAATTGTCTGGGACTGTAAACATGTGATGGGAATTTCTTCTGCTTCCTGGGACTTTGCGTGTGTTAAAGTCTATGAGGTGTAGTCAGAGACTTCAAATGTCTTCATTGTGCTTACTGGATTAGTTACCAGGGATACACTACAGATCAAAACCTAGTCTTAACAACAGGCTCACTACATACCTGACATCCTGAATCATCCCAATCTGACTATCCTAGACATTATCATTCTTGACCGACCCTCTGCTGCCCCCTACCCATTAACCCAGCTCACTCTGCCATGCCCTGCCCACTAATGCTCCTATCCATCCCTTTTATTATTAATCGTTTATGACGTTCCAACTGCAACCTTCACCCCCCCACACAGCAGCTGTTGCTGTAAAATGAGGAACTGCCCCGTCTTGTTCCAACTCTACTCGGCTCTGTTGGTCTTCGCTGAGGGACTCGGTGAAAGCTGGGCTTGGAAAACCCCAGGGTGGAAATATACAGCAGCATAGTGGTAGGGGAATGTCTGCTTGTAATGACACTCTGACTGTAATTGACAGTGCTCCCTAACATCTGAGCCTGTAATGCTGTAGAGACTGTGCAATAACATGTAACTGCAATGTGAGGTTTTCAGGTGTGTACAAATGTGAGTGGGGCTGTCTATTTTGTAGTTTAGAATGGTTGTCTAAAGAATGGCGTTTAGTCAACATTAATTTTAAATTGTTTGTTACAGTAAAAGTCTTGCAATTTTTACCTGTTGGACAATTTTTAAGTACGCTGCTGGGTATTCAGTTTCTTTTAAAGTATTGGGATTTTATGAGGAACGTAACAAATCTGTGCAAAATTAAAGGCAGATTAGATCTGACAAATATTTCCTTCAAAGGTGGGCTTTTGTGGGTAAATAAATGGTCAGAAGTTGTTTGATAAAGTGTCATGAATAGACTTATAGCACTTCCATCTGGAAAGACACAAATAGCAGATACATGGGAATACCACTACCTGTATATTTCCCTCCAAGCCACTCCCCATCCTGACCGGGAAATATATCGCTGTTCCTTCTGCAGGCCATTCGGCCCATCGAGTATCCACCAACCTCTCTGAAGAGCGTCCCACCCAGACCCACCCCTCCTATCCCTGTAACCCTGCATTTCCCATGGCTAACCCACCTAGCCTGCACATCCCTGCACACTATGAGTAATTTAGCCTGGCCAATCCACCTAACCTGCATATCTTTTGACTGTGGGAGGAAACCGGAGCACCCGGAGAATGTGCAAACTCCACACAGTCGCCCAAGGGTGGAATTGAACCCTGGCGCTGTGAGGCAGCAGTGCTAACCACTGGGCCACTCTGACACCAGTCTGGTTATGGACCAGACCAGACCCCCTCAAAATATTTTAAGAAGATAGCCTTGACCCTAACTTTTCCTTATTTTAAAGATAGATGTGAAGTGCCATGTTCCAGATGCAATGCAACTGGTCAAACTACTCAACACTAAGCAAAACACAGTTTATTTAAACACTGTAGTTAAAATACAACCAAATGTAGAGAATAACTTAACTCTATCGGAAACTTAACTGAATAATAGATACAGTAACAATTACTAATTAACTGTTCCAATATAGTACGTCCCATAAACACACCCCCTTGGCAAAAAGGAAAATTCAGACATAGATTCTCACATGCAGTTCTCCAATCCAGGAGGACAAAAATGCATCGAGAAAATTCAGAGAGTGTAGCAGCCTGGAGACATTCTCTGAAGTTCCCAACTCTGTTGAGACCCCAACAGCTTCAGAAATCATCATCTGTGAGAGCTGGCAACAGACATGCTGTTTTTTAAAAAAAAACTCAAGGCCTCCCAAGCTGTTTACTCAAGTTGTCTAAACTAGCCAGCTCTGAGCCTCTGTCTTACAACCTCTCTCTTAAAAGAAACCAGGACAAAATAACCTCTTAAAGTGACAGCATTGTCACACCTCAGTGTCTCAGGGTCAAATGCTGGAGCTCCTGCCCTAGCAGCAATGTGGATTTGCTGGCAGCACAGGGACTTCAATAAGACAGCTCACCACCACCTTCCCGAAGGCACAGTCGGGATGAGCAATAAGTTCTCACCTAGTTAGTGATGTCTACATCCTGTGAACAATTTAGAAATAAATAAGTGAGGTGATGTTCCGCATTAGGAACTGCCGCTAAACTTCAGTGGTTCAGTTTGTTTATGTGTGACGCCTAATGTCTTACTC